CACACACACACACACACACACAGCAGTGGAAGAATGCCGTCAGTTTTTCAGGTTCAACCGGTTTTTCTGGCGTGGCATTCTCGGTCCATTCTGACGTCTTTTTTTTTTTTTTTTTGTTTTTTTTTAACTTTATCTTTTTTTTTTTTTTTTAAATGATCAGATCCGTGCTTTGTATGGCGCGGTATACTTTGAGGAGTCGTCAGTTAACAGCTTGTAACCCAAGCTCACTGCGTGTTTTAACGTGTCGTGTGTATTTGCCTCTTATCTGAAAGCAATCTGTGTGGGAAACCTGCGCTCACAGCTACGGACATCTCTCATGTCTGCTTGTTCTTTGTTGTGCGACTTTCCTGTCGGCTTGTAGTCACATTCCATTCATGTGCAGGTGTTCCTGAAAGCACCATCTGAACTTCTTTTCAAATGACTCCATGTTCACGTGTTCGCCGTGTCTCTGTAGTACAGTGGCACAAACGCCTGCATTCAGCTTTGTGTGCAGCCTCTGCTCCACAGCAGACCCTTACATATTGTGTAACACGTGGCACGACCATCTTTGAGAACATGTAGCTAAATAGGGAAAGTTCAGGCACTATTTAGGATCTAGTTCACTGTGTGCCAAACCACCAACTCGGGACAGTCCTAAGTAAAGGCTGTGCAGCTTTTTATTTCAATCTTAGCATGTAGACGTCACCAATCTCACCAACAAACCTCTGCAGGAGGTTTTTTCCTGTTAAATTGTTTGTTTGTTTTTTTTCTTTCCCAATGTCACCAAGTGCTTCCTCAACAATCAATCATTTGATTTTTGCAGTTTCCTCGTTATTATTGTAGGGTCTCTACCTTATAATATAAAGACTTTTAAGGCAACTGTTATATGTGCCATATAAGTAAAATTGAGTTGAACTTTTAAAAACGACATAATGATAAAGATTTTGAAAAACTGTGCTTGTCGTAGTTATTTTCTGCGCTTATCTCTCAGAAGTGACACTTACTTTAATGACACTTCTGAGCAGAGAGAGGTTCTGGCGTTATTGCTGTGATTGATATCCCAGGCTCTCCCTGCCATTTGTTTAAGAGAATAGTCTTGGCCCACTGTGAAAGGAAGACGCTCTGTTTTGTTTTTGTTTTTTTTCTTTTTCCCCTGCGCTCCGTAATTCACATTCGAGTGCAGCCGAGCAAGAAGGAGCTCATTCACAACAGGGCACGGTGATACAGCGGAAGCCGCTCACTGGGTCTCAGCCAAACTCATTCCAGCCTCCGAGGCTTCTCGCTTATAGTCGATACTTTTGCTGGTAATGCAGTCTTGTGTTGTTTAGGACAGATTGCTTATTGGTATGGGCGCTTCCTAATAAGCCATTTCCTACTCCGTGCATTGTTAGGAACGATAAGGCTCGTCAAAGACTTCTTTTCTTATATTAGAAGAAATTTGTAGTCTAAATTGTGCAAAACAAACTCCAAATATGAGCTAAATTTAACCCATCAACAAGGATGGAATTGTATAGTTTTTTTTTAAATGTGTCCAATTTACCATCTTCCTACAGGAAAAAACAAAACAAAAACTGGGTCCAAAGCAGAGCAAGACCACAGCAGGCTGTGTGCGTGTCTGCAGGGTCGCAAAAAGGGGAAGGTGTCATTGTTCGTGTACTTCTCCATTGATTATGTTGTGTAAACAGCAGATTGCAGATTGTGGCTTTGTCAAAAGTCGCTGTTGTGTTTGTTGTTGAGCTGCGTGTAGTTTCCTGTCTGAGGGTGTGTTCAATCTAACTTGCTCATCGGGATTGTAAAACTGGCCCGGAATGTGCCCACCGCTCCCCACGGAGCAGCAAAACTGGAAAAATGTCTCGCTCTCATCGGTCTCTCACATACTTCTGCACAAACTGTACCGATAACACGGTGACACGTATGTACAATCATATACTTACCCAACAAACAGGAAAACCTACTATGTTACATTAGTTGCTATAAACGTAGCACTTATATTAAGTTGGCCAAAACGGAGGTACAACTAACATTTTTAAAGCTACAACTTTCAACTGAATAAAGCATGAACGCATGTTTTATGAAGACAGACTGATGGTAGTAGAGCCACGAGGGCTACATAAAGTTTAAAGGCTTGTTACAGTTTTGTAGCATAATGCAAACATTCTTACTTACAGGTATCTTGTTCTGACTTAGCTGTGGAACTTTTTCACATGCTGCCTAAAAATACATATGCACCTGACTGATGCTATGTAGGTCAGTCTGATGCTGCCAAAGCAGCCCTGAACTGTTGAGACATCGCCTCGGCACTGTGGACAGGTTCACTGTTAGCAGAGCGCCATGTTCTTTGCAAAGAAATGGCAACGGATCATGCTAGAAAAATCCAAAGCACAGGGATGAACACCATGTGAGCTTTATTTCCTAATGGAAGTAAAGAATTGTATGAATTTTGGTGTGATCTACATGTTTTGAGTGGAAAAGTAGACTAATCTATTGAAAGCTAATATACCAACTCTCTAAGTGTTAATAGACTTCAGCATCACACCACTATTATTAAGATATTTATGAGTTTTGACCTCCTGAGCCGCAGCTGCGGTTCCGGGGGTAGAGCCAGTTGTCCTGAAGGTCAGTAGTTCGATCTTCAGCTCTTCAAGTCAGCATGTCGAAGTGTCCTCAGGGAAGATACTGAACTGAGTTTCCCCCTGTACATCCATGGAAGTATGTGTGCGTGTTAATGTTTGGTTAAAAGTGCTCAGTCACAGATATAGACAGGAATGGTGATGCTGTTTCCCAGTTTGGTCACTGAAAAGTTGTTTTGAACTTGAGGTCTCTTATCTCGAACATGGCGAACTCAAGAGGCCAGATCAAAACGATAGGCTCTTTGTTGTGTTACTCAGGCCATTCAGAAACAGTTGCTGTCAGGGACGGCGTTACCGTTTAAGTATGTACTGGTTTGAAGCATAGTTCAGATGGGTGGTACACATCAAAACAGCTTTCACTCGAACGTCAGGGCCCATCGTTGTTAGTCGCTGCTGCTGATAGTCACCTGTCATGGTTTTAAATGTTGTAGTTGATTGGAGTGTTTCTCCATCACTTTGGCGGGGAATGTTTGTTATGACTCTTCTGTAATACCGTAAATGCCAGTTTCTCATGCTTCTCACAGGCTACATAAATGGCAAATATGCTGTGGTAGTGGTAAAGCTGTTGCACAACAGCGACTATTAATTGCCTTTTAGGGTTTCCTGGCATCAGCCAGTGTAATTTGTTTGGATTTAAGACTTTGATTATTTTTGTTGCTACTGGTTAAAGTATGAGCAACGAAAAGTAAGAACTGGATTGTGAGCTAATTGGTTCTTTGTCGATGTCTGATTGGATCGGTGCTGTCTGCTTTTGGCTTAACTATGAAAGACGAAGGTGATGGATTGCAGTATGGGCTCTGTCCTAAATCTATCCATCCATCCATCATTCCTCTTCTGCTTATCCAGTTCAGGATTGGGTTGCCATTGGGTGTTAGATGTAGATCAGTGAGGGGAGTTTGATGCTGATATCTTGATTGTCTAGTCCTAATGTTTTCCAACTTGTGTCTTTTGTTTCCAGCGTGGAGAGACTGCCATGCAGACCCACCACTTGGAGTATATGGAGGGAGGCATCCTGGACATGGATGACCTGCTGAGCGATCTAGTGGAAGACAGAGACAAGGTGAGAAAGAAGCGGACAGACTCGAACTCAAACCCTGACACTCCAGCAAAAAGATTTCTTAGTTATGTTTTTGCATTGTGTTTATCTGTCTGCTGTTTTGTGCTATCCTTTTCATCCGCTCTTCGTGACATGTGATTGACAGCAGTTTCTCACAGTTGGACAGCAAAGCATGACAAAATGAGCCTTGGCACTAATATTAATCTGTTTCTTGATTGTTCTTACCTGCCAGGAGAGACAGTCTATTACAGCAGAGAATCTGTCATTCTGAGCGCCTTGCGGAGGATTTGTTTGGACTCCCTGCTAAAGTCTCCAGCCCGGCAGGATGACAGAATGCTCAATAAACAAAGTATTAGTGAATCCACTGGTTATGAGAGTCTAAACCAGCTAAAGAAGATGTGACAAAATGAGTTTTCTGCTCTGGAGTGGATTGCGTCGTAGTTTACTTCTGCGTGGTGTGAAAGCGAACTTAATTTCTCCTCTTCCCTGTGGTTCTTTAGCACGTTAAACATTATAGGAGTCATCTTCATTTGTACTGAAAGGGCACCATTTAGGATTTAAAGAAATCAGCCTCATGCAGAGGGAAGTTCGCCCGAACAGAGCGCTGGTTGGCAGTTGTTCTGCATTCACACACATGCACAAAAAAAGACACACGGTGGCCCAATTTCCAGCAAAGAGAAATTTTTATTCCCCCTGCTAATTTCCCATAATGCATTCCTAAATTGTGCTAATAAACCACCCAAAATCCATATTCATAAGCCCTTGGTCCAGATGCATGATGAATTACCAACACTTAGTCAGCAAAAAAGGCCAAATGAAATGGAATTGGAATATTCAGCCGACCTTTTACAGTGCAATAAGAGTTGGTGTTTTAGGCTGCGTGTGTGTGTGTGTGTGTGTGTGTGTGTGTGTGTGTTGCACGTTTGGCAAAGTACTCTTTGTGAAAAAGGGGGACGGAGCTAAATAATAGATGTGTAAACTCAGTGAGAACCTTTAGTGGAGGGAGAAATATTTTTTAGCAATCAGAGAACAAAAACTTCATTTTCCAGGCAGATGGAATTCTAATCATAAGATCGGCGCATACGGTGAGTCATAGATTTTAATGACTCATTTTCCAACCCCGAGCCTGCCTTTTGTCAGCGTCGTCAAAGCGGCGATGAAGTGTCATAATTGAAATCTGGCGTTTGATCAAACTCTCCCAACAACACGTTAACCCCGACATCGGCGCTCTCGTTTTCCGAGCGTGCTGAGCAAATGCTTCACTCCAACCTGCACCGTGCAGGAACTGTCCTATTTACCTTTGTTACTTTACGCTCCCGGCTTTCAACCAATTCTCTAAACGCCCTTCCTCCTCTCATCTCACTTCTCATTTCATCCTTTTGTTTTTTCTGGGGTTTTTTGCTGCTGATGAAAAGATAGCAACCGGAATAGGACGAGCGTGCGTGATCTTCACAACGTGCCAGTCATCCGACAGTTATCTCCGGGCTCCCAAGCAGCGTCGGCTCTCACAGATTAATGAGCCGTGCCTGGCATTCTTGATTAGTCTGACTTCCTTTTGTTTGTCTACATTTTTATTACCTCGCTGCAGCCGGCAGATTCTATCTTTAGTGCTTTATTATTATTTTTTTGTTCTGTTATTGTGGCCGGTGCTGTTTCACCATCAATCATACATGAGTGGACCCATTGTGAGGGCCCTCCACTGCACAGCATGGGCCCTGTGTTAGCTGCGGATGCTAATGAGAGATAATGGTTTGCTATTTGTACGCCTAGTGGTTAGCTTAGCTGCGAGTCTAGACCTCTTTATCTGTTTGAGCGCCCCTGACTATTATTCATCCACACTTTCACACACATCTTCGACGTCCCCACCGCCTGGGCCGAACCACAGGCGAACATTTAACGTAGCATGTTAGCATTTATGGGAGGAGTGCCGCCGGTGGTTGATGAGGGCGGAGACGAGGGGTCGGCTGTGATTTGATTACATTCCTGCCCCCCTGCATCTGCGACATGCCCGCGCACACATACATACAAGCATGAGAACACTCTGTGTTCATTAGCCCCCCGACTCGAGATACCGGCCACCAGCCTCCTCATGAATATTAATACCAATCTGATGAATGTGGGGGAGGCCACGGGGTGTTTGCTTAGGTGTGACCACCTATACACAGTACACACTCGCCGAGACAAAAGACCACAGTATAAAGAGGTCACGGTTCAGTCAATTATACTCTCCTCTTCTTTGACCTTTTACTGTGGCGGTGTAAAATGAAGGGGGGGGATCTGCGCCATTCAGTTCTCAGATGACAGCTGGAAGCGTGGTGGGTGGGGTTAGTCACTGACCTGTCTGATGCCCCTCTGTTTTGTTAATGTTAAGGAGAAGTGGGCAGACACAAGTCATATCTGGTCAAGCTGTTTTGGCAAAATCACTGTTTAGAAACTAGTTTGTCCCCCTTTTAACGCGTAACAGTCGATTTTTGAGTGTTTTTCAGTCATGTAGCTAAACACACACGGAGTGAGCTTGCATGTGATGCAATGAAATATACAGCGTTGGTTAATGCTACATTTAAAAGTACATTAGTTCCATTAAAGACTAATGTTATCACAGCTTTGTCTACTGAGATAAAGAACTTCTCAGTAGCATTATTACAACCAACCCATTTGCAGTTAGCTGATAGTGTGCAAGTCATTAACCTCTGACTTTATGGACTTTACCGTAGCAACTTCCTATTGGTACCATTTCCTCATCGTTAATGCTACAGTGGTTGGAGACTATCACACAAAAGAAATTGTGTGTTGCCTTTTGATATGGTTGCTTCACAGACAGGATCAGGTCTGGGACCAGTCAGCTGCAGTTTTCAAACCGACCCCAGTGCATCGAAACTACGATAAAATGGCAGTAAGATGTAGGTAGTGTATGAGATTGTGATTGAATGGGGACATGTTGGCAATTAAATGCAATCTCTTTGTGATAATATGGCCATAAACTGTGATAAATCAGCAGAAAATCCACATAAGTTGCTGTCTTCATTAGGGCTGCCACAAACGATTATTTTGATAGTCGACTAGTCACCGATTATTTTTGCGATTAGTCGACTAATCAGAGCATCATCCACTGGACGTAAAACGTACAGCTTATTGCACCAGCAGCATCTGCTCTTATATAACTATCATTAGCTTACAGCTTTAAGTGTTTAAGGTATGTGCTAACTAAAAATAAAGACAAGATGATAGTTTATTAAATTTTAATGAAATTTGCAGGTTGTTTCAGTGAAGCTTAATAAACTCAGCCGTCTGCTCCTTGCTATCTAAAATATAACAGGACACCGGAGTAAATTCTGGAGCATCTCACACTTCTGATAATCAGTTGTCTGCTTGACTTTTATTTAGCTGTGTAAAAACTATAACTTTAATCTCAGCCAAACCAATTTACTCAGAAACAAATAAAATACTAAAAAAAAGCCAAACAATAACATTTTTAAGTTATCTAAGTGACTTATGTATGTTTAACCTGAGTAGCGAAAGACGGTGGTGGGTTTGAAAACGATTTGCTGGGAGTCCGGTGTTCTCACGGCTCTAGTGAGCCTTGTCCCCGGCTCGCTATCGAGCTAGTGGGTAACAGACGTCTCCGAAAACGTCGGAGCGATTTTGAAAATATGTGGTGTCTTGATAAACTGAGCAGATATTTGAGGTTTACACAGCTACATTCTCACTTGAAAATATGTTAAACGTTTATTTTGTGACCCAGAAAGTATAATAAGAGTAATATTAAAACTAACTAGCTGCCGCCATTGTTGGAAACTGAGCTGGGCTGCACTATGAATTCTGGGACAGAGCTACTTCTTCTTCTTCGGGGTTTAACGGCAGCTGGCATCCTTGTACATGCAGTGCTGCCACCTTCTGTTTCAGTCCATTATTACACTCTTAAATCCTACTACTTATTCCTGCGTCTTTTGGGATCTTACAAAGCTTCAAACGACGCGTCGACTATTAAATCAGTCGTCAACGATTTTGATAGTTGACGTAATCGTGACTTGTCGACTAATCGTGGCAGCCCTAGTCTTCATACACAGAAAGTTACTTTAACTATTTACATTCAAAGTCCAGTCAGAACTTCATAGATCTGAAACTGAAATTTAGAAATTCCTCCACAAATACTGATACGGTTGCTGCAAGATGATGGTTCAAATGCTGATAACACAGATACTTGGCAACTTGTCTTTAGGAGTATAACCAGAATACAACCAGCTGGCAACCAGTTGATCCGAGTCCCCTGGTGCAAAGAAACGAGCTATAATTGTACCAGATGGTTGCATTCAGTTAAGTTGGACTAGACTGTAATACAAACCGTTCAGTTTGTCAACAATAAAACTGACTGAAATGAGAGAAAGACTGAGTGCGAGACTTTGATATTAGATAAAATGAACATTGATAAAGTTTACCTTTATGTACAGAATCTGAATATCGCAAAATATTTTGAAAAATTGCAATAATATCGTATCGTGCGCTAAGTATTGTGATAATATCGTATCGTGGGATGTATGGTGATTCCCACCTCTAATTGTAACACTAGAAATATTTCAGCATTCATAATCATGTGTACATGCTGTACTATGATTTTTCATGTGCCAACTGTGTTAAAAGCATATTTTTTTTTATATGTTGTTTGGTGTTTTTAAACTCTTTAACAATCTGATTTTCAGAAGCTGTGTGTCAAACGGGCAAATACAGAAAATCAAAACCCATAAAGGATAAGATACCAAAAGCTTTCATACACCACACGACAAAAAAAGGGTTCACTGAATAGTTTGATTAGTATGAGAATGATTTTAATCACATACTGTAGCTTTGACAGTCACCAGATCTCAACCCTTTAATTTGTCACCCTCTGATGGTGAACTATACTGTGCTGTGCAGCAGTGTTGGGCACTAAAAATGGGAATCAGAATGCTTCAGTCAGATAACTGTGCATGCAGCTTAATCAGACACTATCAGTCCTAAAATATAGG